TTAAGAGGTTCAAAGAAGCACTCAATGGGTTGATCCAAGAACTTTGGGCAATGTGAAGTCCAAGATGGATCTAAATGAAGATCAAGTCTTAGTCAATGTCATCAAGGCAATTGAAGGGGCTGAATAGAAGTCTTGGATGTGCAATTGAAAAGGTTGAATAGAGTCTTGGACGTGTGGCACATGCATGCATGTTGATTTCCTATTTTCAGCAATCCAAATAAGGAGCAGATTATATTCCAATAAATAGCAGAAAACTTGCCTATTTTCCAAGACGGCTAATTACCATTTAAAGTCTTATTTACTTTCCTGATTGTAGTCCATTTACTTTTCTGATTGTAAGGCATTATTGCCATAAGATTGTTTCCTTTTTTCTTTAATGTTTATAGGCATGATAGGCCAGCTGCCTTTATATTTTGTTTCATCCTATTTATATAGGCGTGTATAACCCAAGAAAGACAACTTTTATGAATTAAAAAAATATTATTGAGAGAGAGTTTACTCTTAGGTTCTTCAAAGAACTATTATGAACTTATCAAAGTTTTCTTGTGGCATTCAATCTAAAACTATCACTCACAAATTCTTCTTTCTTTTCTTGAATGTGGTGTCTTCCCTAATTCTTATACATTTTCTTCTTATCTCTTTAATAGATAATGGGTCAAGCTCTTTGTTTCGTTTTTCTATTTTGAGAATCTGAGTTAGAACGATTCTTACTTTTCGAGGTTCGTATCAGGTGAAGCCTTTAAAAAAGGGGTTAACTTGCCCAAATAATTTTCCTTTTCTGACTGCTGTGGTTCAGCTTAGTCCATTTGCTGGTGAACTTTCTAAGCTCCCTGTTTCAACTTTGTTTGCTTGGCTGGTATTTTGTCCTTGAAGCATATTCTATAGCATTGCAGGTATTATCCGTAACTCTTATCATAATCTTTTAAAGTTTTTTGTTTATAATAGATGTATTGGTTTGTTATGGTGCTATTACTTTACTTTATTTATTATATTGTTCTTGAGGATCTAGCCTTAATGTTATGACTGTGTCTGTGTATGTTTGATCACTGTTTACTACTAGTTTTAATCGTTCTATAGTAGCATTCATTCATATTTGTGTCTTTATTTAAGATGTTTCATCTTTATCTTATTTTGATATGATATCATGATGAATGATGTTGTTTTGTAGCTGTGGAGTGTTATAAAATCCGTTTAAAATTGTTGCCGACAACTTTTTATCATTTGGATTGAGGCATTGTCCATTTGTTCTCACTAAAACTATTAAAATGATGGTTTTTTCCCCCTTTTTTTTGGTCTGTCTTAATTTAAAGGAAACATATATCTCTGGTTATTTAGTTGTTTGGCAACATTTTCCTAAAACTTTTTTGAACTTTATCTTGATTTGTATTTACTATGCCTTATGGTTAGTTGATTCTGTCGCATGCCAATGATGGTTATAACTGATTTTCATCTGTTTGATGATGCATAATTATTTTAAAAATTATTCTGCCTATATTTTGTTTACTTGGATTCTGATATTGTCTATAGTTCTTGATTAGGATAATTTAGATATCTTATTTTACTCTCTTTTTCATCTTATTCTAATGTTATTATTGTTTTCATTGGCTCATTTCATATTGGTTTTGATATGTCGCTATTATATTGGTTTCTAGCTACGTAATTCCTTTTGAAATTGATCTGGATATGGTTTGTACCCTTCAATTCCAGTATTATATATAGTGTTTGACTGAAACTATATCTATTCCTTTGCTTTTTTCCACTTTTAATTTTGTACTGATTTCTCTAATTTTTTGCTTACCTTATTTCATGCCAATCTATTGACTACCCACCTCTTAAGATCTGTTTCTTTGACCTTCCTTTGGTCAGTTGATATTGCGGATTTAAGGAAACATTCATAATGTCACAAGTACTGTTATTAATTTATTCCTGTGATTTTATTTTGTTTGTTATTGATAATGACTGTATTGATCTGTTATAATATTATTATTTTGTGCTATCTGTTAAAGCAGTCTATTTTTTTATTATCTTTATCAATGTCTTCTCCCATACTTTGTTCAAACATACTAATTCTATTTATTTCATTCATAATCACATGTTATCTATATATTTTTATTTTACATTTTCTATTTTTCATTTCACTTAAGTATGTGACAATGATGATTATATTTAATTTTGACCCGTTGAGTTTGATATAACTTGTCTAGAAATTATTGCCAATAATTCTTTTTGATTTGTACCCTGATTCTATCTATCACTGTTTATCAAAACAATCTTGGTATCACTTTTGTTTTTTCCTAATCTTTTGAAACTGAAACACTACAACAGAGTAGCTTTTTAATAATTATTAGTTACAGCGTTTCTGAAAAAAACGTTTTTTTGCATATATATATATATATAATAGTGTTTAAAAATAGTTATCTTCTATATGTATTTATATATATATATAGTAAAATTTCATGAAATTTTAGCTGGGTTTGTTTTATATATATATATATATATATTTAAATATATATATATATATACACAC